AGGTTACAAATCTGCCGCTATTTCCTGAACATAGATGTCTACCTGTCAATCATATCTGTATTGAAAGAAGACTAACATATAACAATAATATGAAGCGAATTTGATCAGTACTTCACGTTTGCCAGTAAAGTGGACCGCTTATGAGGGTTTAGTTTATGGAAAGTACACAACGCAAAGTGATGTGTAAGTATTCCTACCTTTAAGATCCTCAAAAAAGCATTCGTCTCGGTATCAACTTCAGGCCCGAATTTTCGTCATTCTTCTTTCTAAGAATCCCTATACAACCGCTAGATAGCCTGCAGATTAACGTGGAACCCATGAACGTAGATTCAAATATCTTCATCTATATTTTCCACTTTTACTGCTGATTTATCAGGAAATTTTCGCGGTGGTGAACTTAATATAATAATAATAATAATAACGGTTTATTCACAGTATATCCACATAAGAGGGTGTGGCTCTTCATCTGTGAAGGCCTACGATACTAATATTTAATATTATATGTAAAATAAAAATGGAAAGAAAACTAAATTATAATAAAAACCATATGAATGTAAATATGTAGAATGTAATGGTTGGTGGTTGGTTCTTTCTATGTCTTTACAAGGAAGACAGAGCGCGCGCTTTTAAGAACGCCTTGCAGAGCCTACAGTATTCTTTAAAGTCTTTGCAATTCCTTATATTTGCTGGCAATTAAGTTAGGACAGGCAGCTAGTTTAATTAAAAGCATTCCCACCGCAGACGGGATCGCGAAAGTTTCATGTTGTATTCTGAAAGCAAATCAGCTCAAATTAACCGGTGTCCCTTTAACCATCGCCAGCTTATGCGAATGTTGATGACCTAGCTATGGAATGAACGAAGTCAATAATTGCAACGTATCATGGAGGCAGGGGACTAATTTTAAATTTTCATGTCAATCTCTAGAGTAGGGTTACAGGTTACAGGTTCAGTCTGGTTTTGAAGTTGACTGATGAAAGAGCTGGTTGAGAAACAAAAAATATGCCATATTAATTGTGGAGGTGAATTAGCATCAGATCAAACAAAGAACCAGTTTCTTAAGTAATTCATGTTGCCGTCTCTATACGTAGTCAGAAGCCCTGACAGGATAATGAAACATTCTGAATATTCTCCAGTTACCTTACTCTGTGACTTTTTCATAAGAACAAGTTCGAGGGCATGATTTGTTTTTATTCATTATGAGAATCGGGAGTGCGCGTTTTTTTTCAGTAGAAAAAAATGCACTTTTTGAATGCCTTTCACATAAGATATTTTGATTGTTTTTTCACTTTGCGGCAAATACTTTGAGTCGCTATGTCATCTTCAATTGTTGAGTACTCTTCATGGTTTGTTTTCTTAAATCTGGTGTCAAAAGATGCCCAATTATCCTTCAACAGGTTTTGGTTAATTTTCTAATAAGATTACTACCTCTTAAAATAAATTTTTTGTCTTTGTTCCATTGGCTTAGTATAAATCTAAAACGAGTTCGTTGACTTCCATTTGTTATAATTGAATGGCAATCAGCATATCAAGATTAATCATTCTACAAAATGTTTCATTTATCACCCACTAAAGTAAAAATGTTTACAGCAATAACCCAAACAGAATTTTTGCTGGGAAAGTATATTTACATTAAGAAAAGACCACGCAAGTGAGTCCTGGTTTTCGGGTGGGCTGAATGGCTTAAGCGGAGGAGATAAGCGA